ACTGTGGAGGGAAAACAGCACGCCCGTTTGCATCATCCTCCCACCTCAGTTTGATCTGAGGACGGAAGTCTGCTGACATGCTTTCACCATCTTCCTCCACCCCTTCTTCTTGCTCTCTGAAGGTGATCTTCGTAATATCCACTTCGGGATTTTCTGCCTTCACCTTCTTCCTGTAGTCCGTGAATGCAATGATGGCAGTCGGCAGCCGGTATAAGTTGACGATGTTGTCAAATGAGCTGGAGCTGATGAAGTTGCTGATGTGCTCCTTCATCCCATTGTGCACCAAGGTCTGCACATTCCCCTTCAGCTCCAAGAAAGCCTCCTTCGTCAGCTTTAGTTCTTGCGCCTGAGCCTCACGCTCACTTTCAGAGATCTTTCGTTTGCTCTCTTCAAAGTCGAGCTTGGTGCTCAGGGAAGCTCTCTCCTGCTCCAACTGTTTCAGAGTTGGAACCACCTCGTCCAACGACTCTTGCAGATCTTTATTTTTCTTCTCCAGCTCCTCCTTTTCCTTTTGCAGCTGGTCACACTGCCTCTGCAAGAGTGCGCGCTCCTTTATACTCTCCCTGAACTCCTGGGCTAGACCATTCACCCAGCTCGCGCTCTGCAAATCAAAGCAGAAGTTCAAAGGGAAAGAAGAGAAGAAGAAACAGAATAAATAAACAGCAACACTAATTTAACTTACCTCAAGAACATGCTTCACAACAGATGCTCCCCCGTACCTCAGAGCTTCCTCCCGCGCGTTGCGCTTGTCCACTTCGGGGAAGGTGCTGTTGATGAACCACCTAGCCCCCATTACGTTATTTCCCTCGAATAGGCTGCTCTGAGGCACCACTGGGGAAACAGGGCCCTTTCCCTTACCAGGAACCCGTACCTCAGCCCCCTCCTCCAACCGTCTGAGCTCAGGGTTCAGCTCAACATGAGGAGGCTGAGGTACGAACTCAGGAACCCCATTCCCCTCTTCCTCCTCCACCACTTTCTGTTTCTTCTGCAGTGCCCTCCTCTCCTCCCAACCCTTCCTCTTCAGCGTTAGCACCTTCTCCTCCGTCTCAGCTGAAGCCACGGGCACTACCTCCTTCCCGGTCCTCCCCTCATCCACTTTCTTGGTTGAAGTCTTTGACTTCTTCCTTGGCTTCTTGGGGATGGGCGCTCCTCCAGCAGTGTTCAAAAACTGGTCCATTTCAGCTGCAAAGCAAGAAACACAATGTTAGTCACAATTTTATATTCTACATTTAACGCTACAGTGCATGATAAATAAACCTTCACTCAGAGCGCTTGGCCTATAGAGCTCAGCAGCCTCTATGCATGCTGTGCTGGTGAGGTCCATGATGTTCAACACATCTCCCCCCTTCCTCACCAACTTCCCCACTTCTTCCTCCTCATCCTCATTTAAACTAAACCTATTCTGGTTGGCCCTTTTGGCCTTCCAGGAGGCTAACGCCCTCACCTCGGTATCCTCCTTACCCCACTCCGTGTCATCCATAAAAAAGAATTTTTCCTTCCATCCCTTAATGGATGAAGGATCCGCAGTGAATAAAATCCTACTCTCCTTCTTAGCTACCCTAGGGGTGAAATAATACCACCCCTTATCCCTCCTACTTCCTCCCTTTAAAACAAAAAAAGTATTTAAACATATTCACAGTTGGTACACTAATCCCCTAAGCTCGGCAATAAACTAAAAAACCTATTATTACCCTCATTGCGTTGGGGACCAACTGTGTCAACCATATGTTGTAATTTAATAGTAAACCTACAAGCAACTCCGGAATTGGAAACTTAAGGCCAGCATACAAATAATAGGAGTATACGGGCATCCAATGATCCCGAGGAGCAGAGCATGCCCTCTCCTCTACCCCAGCTGGCCTAACTAGCACTCGGGACGAGATTTCGTAATTTTCTACTAAGTGACCCAGGCTATCCCTGGTCCTTAGTTCAGATCGGTACTGTTTCACCTCCTCCACTATCTCTGCATTCTCATCATAATC